GTAGATGTGTGTATTGTCAATGTCTGTATTGTAGATGTTTGTATTGTAGATGTGTGTATTGTCAATGTCTGTATTGTAGATGTGTGTATTGTAGATGTGTGTATTGTAGATGTGTGTATTGTCGATGTGTGTATTGTAGATGTGTGTATTGTCGATGTCTGTATTGTAGATGTGTGTATTGTAGATGTGTGTATTGTCAATGTCTGTATTGTAGATGTGTGTATTGTAGATGTGTGTATTGTAGATGTGTGTATTGTCGATGTGTGTATTGTAGATGTGTGTATTGTAGATGTGTGTATTGTCGATGTGTGTATTGTAGATGTGTGTATTGTAGATGTGTGTATTGTCAATGTCTGTATTGTAGATGTGTGTATTGTAGATGTGTGTATTGTAGATGTGTGTATTGTAGATGTCTGTATTGTCGATGTGTGTATTGTAGATGTGTGTATTGTCAATGTCTGTATTGTAGATGTGTGTATTGTCAATGTCTGTATTGTAGATGTGTGTATTGTAGATGTGTGTATTGTAGATGTGTGTATTGTCGATGTGTGTATTGTAGATGTGTGTATTGTAGATGTGTGTATTGTCGATGTGTGTATTGTAGATGTGTGTATTGTCAATGTCTGTATTGTAGATGTGTGTATTGTCAATGTCTGTATTGTAGATGTGTGTATTGTAGATGTGTGTATTGTCAATGTCTGTATTGTAGATGTGTGTATTGTAGATGTGTGTATTGTAGATGTGTGTATTGTCAATGTCTGTATTGTAGATGTGTGTATTGTAGATGTGTGTATTGTCAATGTCTGTATTGTAGATGTGTGTATTGTAGATGTGTGTATTGTAGATGTGTGTATTGTCGATGTGTGTATTGTAGATGTGTGTATTGTAGATGTGTGTATTGTAGATGTGTGTATTGTCAATGTCTGTATTGTAGATGTGTGTATTGTAGATGTGTGTATTGTAGATGTGTGTATTGTCGATGTGTGTATTGTAGATGTGTGTATTGTAGATGTGTGTATTGTCGATGTGTGTATTGTAGATGTGTGTATTGTCGATGTGTGTATTGTCGATGTCTGTATTGTCGATGTGTGTATTGTAGATGTGTGTATTGTCAATGTCTGTATTGTAGATGTGTGTATTGTAGATGTCTGTATTGTCGATGTGTGTATTGTCAATGTCTGTATTGTAGATGTTTGTATTGTAGATGTGTGTATTGTCAATGTCTGTATTGTAGATGTTTGTATTGTAGATGTGTGTATTGTCAATGTCTGTATTGTAGATGTGTGTATTGTAGATGTCTGTATTGTCGATGTGTGTATTGTCAATGTCTGTATTGTAGATGTTTGTATTGTAGATGTGTGTATTGTCAATGTCTGTATTGTAGATGTTTGTATTGTAGATGTGTGTATTGTCAATGTCTGTATTGTAGATGTGTGTATTGTAGATGTGTGTATTGTAGATGTGTGTATAGTAGATGTGTGTATTGTCGATGTGTCTATTGTAGATGTGTGTATTGTCGATGTGTGTATTGTCGATGTCCTTATTGTCGATGTGTGTATAGTAGATGTGTGTATTGTCAATGTCTGTATTGTCGATGTGTGTATTGTAGATGTTTGTATTGTAGATGTGTGTATTGTAGATGTGTGTATAGTAGATGTGTGTATTGTCAATGTCTGTATTGTAGATGTGTGTATTGTCAATGTCTGTATTGTAGATGTTTGTATTGTAGATGTGTGTATTGTAGATGTGTGTATAGTAGATGTGTGTATTGTCGATGTGTGTATTGTAGATGTGTGTATTGTCGATGTGTGTATTGTCGATGTCTGTATTGTCGATGTGTGTATTGTAGATGTGTGTATTGTCAATGTCTGTATTGTAGATGTGTGTATTGTCAATGTCTGTATTGTAGATGTGTGTATTGTAGATGTGTGTATTGTCAATGTCTGTATTGTAGATGTGTGTATTGTAGATGTGTGTATTGTCGATGTCTGTATTGTAAATGTCTGTATTGTCGATGTGTGTATTGTAGATGTGTGTATTGTCGATGTCTGTATTGTAAATGTCTGTATTGTCGATGTGTGTATTGTAGATGTGTGTATTGTCGATGTCTGTATTGTAAATGTCTGTATTGTCGATGTGTGTATTGTCGATGTCTGTATTGTAGATGTGTGTATTGTAGATGTGTGTATTGTCAATGTCTGTATTGTCGATGTGTGTATTGTAGATGTGTGTATTGTCGATGTCTGTATTGTAAATGTCTGTATTGTCGATGTGTGTATTGTCGATGTCTGTATTGTAGATGTGTGTATTGTCGATGTCTGTATTGTAGATGTGTGTATTGTCAATGTCTGTATTGTCGATGTGTGTATTGTAGATGTGTGTATTGTCGATGTCTGTATTGTAAATGTCTGTATTGTCGATGTGTGTATTGTCGATGTCTGTATTGTAGATGTGTGTATTGTCGATGTCTGTATTGTAGATGTGTGTATTGTCGATGTCTGTATTGTCGATGTGTGTATTGTCGATGTCTGTATTGTCGATGTGTGTATTGTCGATGTCTGTATTGTCGATGTGTGTATTGTCGATGTCT